AGAATCCTCGGGCAATTGCACGAGCCATCCTCCACAGTGGCTACAAAAAAATGCCCATTCTGGGCAAATGCTTTACTTTGGACGCTTCGAAGCCTATGCCTCCTGACAGTCCCGTTCGATGCGCTAAAACACAAACACAACGATATAAGTTATGTTTTAAGAAACATGCGCAGCAAAAACCTGCAACAGATAGCCGTGAAGCCAGTCGAGAGTTTGAGGAAATGTTGTCGCTGAGATTGGAACAACTCCCACGCCCTGAAAAGAGGGATCAAGGTTGGTCAAACCTAGAATGACGATTGATAAACTTTACCTGGGACTCGAATGAAGTAAGATAATCTTGTATGGTTCGCAGTTTAACAATAAGCGCTGCTTCTTCCTCCTGAAAGCGCAATTGTCACAACTTTCTATTCCCAATATTAACATGAACAGCCAACCTCGGTGATGGAACTCTCGGAACGAGACGCGATCCATTCTTCCAGTAACATCTGATAATCAAAGCCGGCCTCAGATTTTGCAGCGTCACAAAAGGAAAACCCGTACCTGATGATCAATATCTGCCATGCTAAGAACTATTGGCACAATAATCGCCTTGGGCTTGGCAGCGCTTCCGTTTTCATGCTCATTGAGTTGCTGTTTTCCGTCTACAGCACATAAGACAGGTAAGCGCGTGTAAATCAACTTGAGGTCTACAAGTTCTCACCACACTGAGCAGGTGACTTCTCAGAATCTCCGTCCTCAGCTTTGTTTACTGGACTTGCTCTCCCATTCTCCTCCATGAGATATATACTTGGATCTAAGTGAATGCCCTGAGATAGCAGAATTGCGATCAACAAGTACCGAGCAGCAGTCACTGCTTACCTCAATAATGACAGGTTTTCCATCCTTCATTGCTTTAGTCAAGTCCCCGTCTAGACCTGAAGGAGCATTTTAGGAAGACAGAAAACATGAGCAGAAAAACATTTCCACCTTTACGAACAATTCGGCACTCCCGGCAAAATTCCGTGATAAGTTCTTCTTTTGTTTCAAACTGCCTCTCCCATATCGGCGTTGAGGTCAGCGGCGCCCTTGCAAAAATAGAGAACAAGAAAATTATTTTCATGCAGACAAGTATTCTGAAATTACTCTGTTGAGCTCCGAAGTAGCTCATAAACCATGTCAGTCTGCGAAGCCAAGTGAAGACGAACAACTAAAACTCTTAAGGACAAATAGCTTGCCTGAAGCACATTCGGAAGATTCAACCGTTGGGCTAGCTGAGTTGCAATTGTCGATTTTCCTACACATGCAGTCCCGCAAACGAGAATAATAAGAGGAATCCTTTGATGATGAAACCTGAAGCACAAAGACGTTAGTTACTAGGACCCAATGCAAGTAAAAACTATCACCTTGTCATCATCTTGTAACGATTAATGTAATCTGTCCCATATCCCCGTCTCTCCATCAACTATTGCATTGTTCACAGCACCATGTAGATTAAACAACAAAACCGCAATAAAATAAGTATCATTTAACAGCAAAAGAAGAATCGGGAAACAGGAAAAACGCAAGCGTGTCACTTACCTTGAAAACATTTGCCTCTAGATCAGTCTGTGAGCTGCCAAGTCAAAAGAAAAACGTTAAGTGCGATTCCACATCCAAAAGAGAGAAGAGTCGCGTACACATCCAGCAAGCTATTATCAACCAGCAGTTTTTTCAGCTCGAGGGCAATTTTAATGGCAACATGATGTGGAATCTGTTCAACACGGTTTGCCACGATAGTTAGAAAAAGAGAAATCTATGGCTTACCTTCGTCACAGTAAGCATGCGGCTGAGTAGAAATCGCGAGAAAACGTAGTAGTGATCCGAGTTCTCACCCAGCCAAACTCGCACCTGGTAAGCGTGAGAAAAAGAAAATCCAAAGGCGAGATGCTTGAAAGAAACTCCAAGCCAATACATGCAGCGCTCTAGAACACTAAATCACTCCAAATCTCAAAGAGAAACGCCCAGAGACCTCCAATGCAAGTGATTCTGGCAAGAAAATCCGAGGCAAGTCAACAAGCAGGCAAGAATTCGCAGCAAAGCGCGCGAGCTGCCGCAATGCCGATCACGAGAGGGATTCTTGAGACCTAGATCGTGCGCAAGCGTGAAATATTTCCCGGTACCTTGACGAAATCGTACTTGGATGTGGCGTGGCGCGGCGGCCGCGATCCATCCGCGGGAGGAAGCGGTGCCGCCGCTGCCTTGTCCTTGGATGATCCACCGCCGCCGCCATCGCTGCTCTCGATCTCTTGCTGCTCCGCCATGAAGAAAACACACCACCTGGCAGCTCTTTGATTAAATAATCGGCCCAAGCTCGATTCCCATCACTCCTCCTCTGTTTTTTAGGGTTTATATTTCCAGGGCTAAGCTATGGCCTTGGCGGTGGAGTGCTTCGTGGCGCCACAGCTCCACAAGACACCGAGGTAAGATCGATCAATCGCTGGATAGAAGAGGACGAATTTTCCATGCAGGGCGTTGTGCTTCCACTCTAGGATGCCGCATTTTAGGATTTCATGCAAGAAGAGGCCTGTGGTTTTGGCAATGGCATTTGGAGCCTCGCAACCCGGCGATCCATTTGTAGAGACCTTAGCAGCAGCTGCTAGAACTCCACTTGGCGAAGCGCAGCTCCAGGAATCCAGGGACGAGAAAAGAGATGAAGCTTCCCCGCCCTTGCTAGACATTGTGAGCAACATGGTTACTCCAGGCAGTGTCCGGAACTTCAGTGATCCAGTTTTGATGGCCGCTCCAGCTCACGTAAGTTTCTACTTTGCTCGCTCCAAACTTTCTTCTAATCTTTTTTTTTTCATCTCTCTTTTTTTTCTCATCAGGTCGAAACATCATACAATGAACACAGGCCTCGCAAGCCTCCTCCGGATTTGCCTTCGCTGCTACTAAACAGTCGAATCGTCTACGTTGGCATGCCAGTATGTGCCTTCAATTTTTGTTCGCGAAGTATTGTTCTTAATGTTTGTGATTTCTTTGCTAGCTTGTACCAGCGGTGACGGAACTTGTAATAGCAGAGCTTCTATACTTGCAATATTCAGATCCGACACTTCCAATTTACATGTACATAAACTCAACAGGAACTTCCAGGGCGGATGGTGAGACGGTACGTTGTGCTTTAAATGGTGAGAAACAAGCGTTTCCTTATCGTGTTCTTCAGGTTGGGATGGAAACCGAGGGCTTTGCCATTCATGACACCATGCAGCTAGTGAAAAACGAGGTAATTTAATTCAAAAGCCTTTTTTTCTTCCTTCCTTAATGAGAGGTGTCTTGCATTTTCTTTGTAGATTCATACAGTTGGCGTCGGTGCCGCAATTGGTCAAGCGTGCTTGCTTCTTGCAGCGGGAACAAAGGGAAAGCGTTACATGCTTCCTCATGCCACAGGTGTTTTCCCATTACGATCGATCTTTAATTTTGACAATCGTGTTCTTCAGCCATGATCCAGCAGCCTCGTATGCCCTCAATGGGACAAATGCCTGCGATTGACTTGCACTTAAGAGCCAAGGAGGTTTGTTCGTCCATCTTATCTTAGGAAGAAGAGTTAACCTCTACGTCTTTTTCCTTCCTTTAGGTGATTCATAACAGGGATACACTTGTGGAGCTACTGGCTGAACACACTGGAAACGTAAGCTTTGGTTTTTTCTCTTCGTTTTTGTTGTGACTTAAGTTTGCTACAGCCCGTAGAGAAGGTTGCAAAGGTGATGCGAAGACCTTACTACATGAGTCCTAAGAAGGCCATGGATTTTGGCGTCGTGGACAAGGTAGACAAATTCTCACAGACAACTAAAGCTTGACACTCTTCATAGATACTCTGGAGAGGACAAGAGGCCATGGGAGAGACGCTCTCCCCCGAGCAATGGGACAAGCGAGCAGGAATTCGTGCAGTGGAGCGTCCCATGACTTACGGTGCTGGAACAAGCGGTCTCGGTTAGTCCCTCGAGAAATAAATTGGGTTGTGTGTACACTTTACAGTTTAATCGGCAAAAAAGAAAAGAAAAAGTATACAAAGTGGACGATCTATCAGGGCGGTGGGTCTTGTACGGCCGGTGGAAGGCCTCATAACATATCAACAGCGCTTGTTCGTTCTATGATTGCGGCCAACCAAACGATTGCGAGAGGTAAGCTTTTCTTGCTGAGAATCACACTGACGAGACAAATCTTTGTGCTAGATCTTCCGGTGAGACCATGTGATCTTGAGAAGTTTATGTTGGAAGAATTGCAGTGCTGGGCAAATGCTATAAACTTTAGCAAAGGCTTTAAAAAAACTTGGAGAGATGGCCCCAGAGAGGAGGAGAATATACTTGTCTCACGCTAGGCTGGGTTAATATACTTTTGACTGTCTTCATTTAAATCCATTCATTGTGATTCGTTTTGGCTCGTTGTGTAGCATTCAATCGATCCGAAAGAGAAAGAGGTGGTCGGGGGTTCGATCCCTGGCGCGCGCGTGTTTGTTGCCCGGCCGGGGCTTTTATGGTGGGAGGAAAGCTTTGTATTCAAGCGTGGGCGTTTTGCTAGCAAACGATAGGAACTCCACCATCGCTTGTTCTTCACAAGAAATGCTATCGATCGGAGCGGCATTGGCGAAGATTTGGCTGGTAATCGCGCTGGGAGCGTCGATCTGGCCAGTGTCCCGGCAGCAGCAGCTGGATTCCAATTTATATCGCTCGCGATGCCCCGCGCTGGAGCCGATCTCCGCCACGGCCGTGGCGCGGCAGATTAGGAAGGATCCGACCTCCGCCGCGCCGCTCGTCCGGATGTTCTTCCACGATTGCTTCGTCCAGGCAAGGCGCACTCGTATTTCGATCGATCGATCGATCGATCGGCGAAATATTTTGGTCTGACATGTTTTGCGCGTGTTCTTGTTTCTTTCTTGACAGGGTTGCGATGCGTCAGTGCTACTAGATTCGACCAAGAACAGCACGGCCGAGAAGGAGGCAACGCCAAACGTATCGCTGCGCCAATTCGATGTCCTGGAGGAGATCAAGACGCAGGTGGAGGCCAAATGTCCGGGAGTGGTTTCTTGCGCCGACATTGTGGCGCTGGCCGCTAGAGATGCCACAGTCCAGGTACACGAATCGATTCTAGCTCATCGATCGAAATTCGCGAAGATTTCCCTCTTCTTGTTCTTGGTTCTCTTTCTCTCTCTTGCTCGAAATCTCACGCTCGGGAAAAGGGAAAGGATGATTCCGTCGTGCTTCTCGTGATGCCGGCCAAATTCATCTCTCACGCGCTCGATTTCTTGGAAAGATCGTTCCATTCCTTGCCTGCATTGATTGATTGTCATGAGCATCGGCATCGCAGCTTTAAAAATTCACTCTTCTTCCTCGTTTGCTCCTTGGCAGACTGGAGGACCGAGCTGGAACGTGGAATTCGGGCGGAGGGATGGGCGGAGCTCGTCCGATGCGATGGCTGCCGCGCATTTGCCGTCGTCGCGATCCAGCGCTCAGCCTCTCATCGACAGCTTCGCGGCGGTGGGGCTGTCAATCCGGGATCTGGTGACTCTATCAGGTACTCTGCTCTTCCCCTGGCTCGTGATGTCATACTCCATGTCATAGCCCTGGCTTTTACCCTGGGTTTTGGTTCCCGTCATGTCATAGCTCCTGGTTTTTTGATCCCCGAACATGTCATAAGCCCCCAGGTTCTAGTCCACGTGTTCTTAAAGTTGCTGTGCCCGAATCCTTTGTCCTGTCTTCTTCACTGCAATGCCTGACTGAATTCTCGCTGTCACTAGTTTACCACTGTCATCCACTGGAAGACATTGGAGAGTTCTGTATGAAGTAAATGTTTGTTTCTTATCCCTTCGCCACTCATTGTTCTACTCGATTTGACTGGCATTTGTTCTGGAGCTCTGGAGCTCTGCGTAGCGTAGGATCTTCTTTGGACTAGACAATCCAAGTTGCGTGACTTGATCGACTTGATCGATCGATCGAACGCGCTCCTGGAATGGTTTTTTATTCTCGTCCTTTCTCATACTTTCTCTCTTTTGCAGGAGCTCATACTTTTGGACGAGCGCACTGCACCCAAGTGGCGCGTCGCTTCTATGCTTTCAACAACGCCAGCGGCATCGATCCCACGCTCGATTCCAGCTACGCGCAGCGGCTCCGGCGGCTGTGCCCGCAGCCGTTGGATGCCCACGGAATGGTCGACCTGGATCCAATCACGCCCAACGTCTTCGACACGCTCTACTACCAGGGACTGCTCATGAACCTGGGGATATTCTCCTCCGATTCCGCGCTCGTTCTGGACAACCGGACGAAGGTGTTCGTGCAGGAATATGCGGTCAACCCAGTCTCGTTCGTTCAACAGTTTCCGGGCGCCATGGTCAGACTTGGTCGCATTGGTGTGTTGACCGGCAGTCAAGGTGAGATTAGAAAAAGATGTAACGTGGTCAACTGAGAGCGTATGTATTTGACTTGTGTATATAACATTCTCCAACGAACCCGGGGTCTGTGGAACGAGACCAGCAGGGTATTAGACATCGATTTTCTGCTAGTGACATGGTCAACGGTTTAGTCAGCTTTACAAACAACATAATTTTCTTACAGCTTCAGAGAATAAAAAATAGGAAATAGAAAATCGTGGAGATCTAATCACTGCTTCTCATGGAATTGGCCAAGAACCAAAATTTCTGAGCAATTTTGAGTGTCCAGAGTGTGAGAGGCAGAAAGGAACAACGCTGCATTCTAGCTATGCTCATTTTGCAACAAAAGAAACTCTTGGTATCCTTTGGAAGTTGAGTCAGGAGACGCTTACTTTTCAGTGCTCTTGCCACAAGACATGGAGCAGGGTACTTTAGCAATTTCCAGTGTTGGTTTCTTCGTCTAGTTCTGCCTGAAAAGTCATGGTCCCAGAATGTATCCTCTTCTGGGACGGACCAAAAAGGAGAAGAAGAAGAAGTTGACTGAGCAAGATCCTCTACAACACTTTCATTATTGCATTCATAAACATTGCATTCATAAACAGCATGTCATCTCCCATAACTACTATTTCAACATTTTGAAGAATTCTTATTCTTCTACAGCACTACCCCAATTGGCTAATTATATCCCCTATTGACCACTTTTGTTAGTTTTTCATCATATAGCCCCTTCATATTTCTATATTCCCTTTTTATATTTCATGCACTCACATTAGTGGAGGAGGGGGGCAATTTTGATTGTCTTTAAGGAGTGTTTGAATTTAGGATTTTGGTTTAGATTTAGTTTTTGTATTGTTTAGATCTTACTCTCTTTATAACTTTTTCATTCTCTTTTGTTTTTTTTCTTTTTCTGTATCTTCATGGCAAAGTATTAACTTCCTCCTCCTTTAACTTTGGAGTAGTAGTTAATGTAGTTGCTCAATGTTATATAATTGTAGTTAAACAAATAGACTTAGTTAATGACAGAATTCATCCTTGCATCTAGTAGAGTCAGTCCTTTAAACAGTTCTCAAGTACAAACCAAAAGCCCTTATCGGTCTTCAAAGAAGTGAATGACTATAAAGTGGTAGAAGATTAATTTTATGATATAGGGGATTATTTTCAAGTGTTATAATTACCAAGTTTAGAAAAGGTCCTATATGTAAAATCATATTTAGCAAATAATGCTAAGTCTTGGTGGAGAGCAACAGAGGCCAATAAAGGACTGATAGCCACTTAGGAAGTGATGAAGGTGAGGATCCATACCATTTATATTCCCTTGAATATTACTCTACACTTAAGGAATGAGTTGAGTAAGCTGAAGCAAACAAAAACCATTCAACAATATATGAATGTATTTATGGCTAAAAGGATCTTTATCACAGATATGGGTGATATGGATGTGTTTCATGCCTTCATATCAAGCTTATTAACCTGGGTTTAAGGCGATATGATGCATTAAAACCTAATCAACTACAAATAAACATTAATGAAGATGCATTTCAATGATAACCTACAAAAAGGGAACACAATAGAGTTAGGGTTCATGTTTTGCAAATGAGCCAAACCAAGGGGAACATATGGCAAATGAAAATTTAGGAAGATTTTCTCTAAAAATAAATCCTTAGGATTTCAAAAAGGAAGATCCGGGGCCTAAAGAGCAAGTACATAAAGGAGTCAAGTAAAAAAGGATAAACCTACTAATAAGAAAACCAAGTTTACTAACAATGTAAGAAACAACATATGCTACAAAGGGTGCGGGAGACTTCTCAAAAGAATATCCTTACCCAAAGAAGGCCAGAGTCAATATAACTATTAAATCATATGAAGTTTAAATTGAGTTTTATGATTCAGTCCCTAGCTCAAAGTTATTCATTACATGAGTGACTTTGGTAGAGAGTCATTCATGACATCTACTAGCCATCCAAAAGAAGCTCGGAGGTAGCTTTGTTAAGATCCTTATTGACACATGTGCTTTAAATAATTTTATGGCTACAAACATAGTCTGGCAAACTAGACTAATAGTACAATAGCTAAGAGAATGGGGATGGTCCAAAGTTGAGTTGAGCTCACGAGTTGAGCTCAATTCAACATAAGTCAACTCAACTCAACACAGTCAACAAGAAGTATTACAAAAGAAATTTAAATTGAACAAATGAAGGTTCTAGCAAACTTTAAAATATTTAAATACGTAAATATCTGAGTTAAAAGTTTCTATAAGATTGAATTGTTTAAAAAAAGACAAAGTTCATAAGAACCTATCTTTTATAAAGCTATATTATTTTATTATGACTATTGTTACAGCTATCATATTTTGATTTGACTACTTAATATTTTGAATACTTTTACAGCTATAGATATTATTCCTTCATTCAAAAGATATTTTAGAGTTCTTAAGAAGATGGGAAGCAAGGCAAATACAAGATCTATGAGTAAGAGTTGTAATGCAAAGGAATGTGAAAATGTTAATTTTGTTTCATTACCACAATTTCCATATTACACTCCTAGTCCTTATTACCCATCTGAGAATGTGAAGACCACTATCACGATTGATAAAAATGCTCCTGTTACTTCTGAAACAATAGTCTAAAGCAAGAGAAATGAAGAAATGAACAACACGGTGAAAAGCACCAAGAAATCTACTCCATAAAACTTTCCATGACATTTGTAATTTACATATTAATCCACATTAAAAACTCTGTTACCTGCCTATATCACAATCCTCTTATATGATAAGACCAAAGTATATTTTTGCAGTGAATCCTTATTAAAAGTTTTTAGGAGTTTTTTGTAAATAATAATAAAAGAAATTAAAATCTTTTGAAAGATTCAAAAGTAATATCATATCAAAGAATCAACTTTATCTACATTTCCAAGACTGAAAGGCAATCTCACATGAGAGAATGGTAGCGTGCCAACATGCTCTACCACTATAATGTAGTTTATATTTCCTTGCAGTCTATTTCCCTAGACATTTGGCATGTGTAGAAAAGAATATATGTGTAGCAAAGTAGGATTTCATCATAAAGATAAAGCATGTGTATACATGGTAATCTAAAATTCTAAAAGCTCTTATATTTATAAGCAAGCTATGATTATGAAGCCCCATTTCCAAGACTGACATTTAAAGAATTTGAGTATTGTCAGTGTCATAATAAATAAACCTCATTCCTGAGATTAAAACTTAGTATATAAACTATTTAGAAAAGTTATAGTCATCGTAGTTTTTTACTCTCCTTGAGCTCTTTGGAAGTTTGTATTGAAATGGCTCGAAGAAAGTCATTGCTACTCGTATTTGTCCCCCCAGCATTTCATATCAATCCCCACCTCCATCTTTAAGTTTTACTAACATTCCACCTTCACCTCCACATAAAAATCTTTTTTCTGCTGAGGGGTCTAGTGAAGTTGAACTAAAGCTCTCTATATATGTTAGTGGAACTATCATACCCAGGCAAAACATATGCTACACGTTTGCTATCATTTGTGTTTTTGCAGAAGGTATGATAGCTCCACATCATAACCTGGAAAATAAAAATGTTTAGAAATTAGATAAAAATATAAAATACATACTCACCTTTTCAGGCTTCCCTTGGACGCCCCTCGTGTCGACGCCAATAGAATCCATAATGCACCCGAAAGAGAATGACTTGAAATGAACTTCTGCTGCACACGTCATAAGCTCATACATCCAGTTGGGGTCATTTGGTAAGATGAAGACGATATGGCTAGCTTCAAGCATAAATGCTTCGGGACAATAGGAATGCATCACGCATGTGGTTAGGTATGAGAAAGTTCCAATCCTCAACTTTCCCATCGATATTTGAAAGACTATTTGGAAAGTCAAAGAGAATGAAGTCCGCAACTAGGAATAAGAGCCTTTGTATCTTTCAGCACCAACAGTTGAATTGACGCCATTTATCCATGTTGATGTCGTCTTCCGTGAAAGATGTCAACAATCTACTGTAAAAGCCAATGAAGATACCCACAATGCCTCATTGTGTTATTAGGGACATAAGATGGACTTATAAAAGAGCTAAGTGGATGAAAAAAGCAATAAATAATATGCTAGCGTCATATGGCGTGTTGTCGATGAGAGTTCCTCCAACTCCTCTTCACAAGCATCTCATCGAGCTGGAATGAAATTGTTACTAACAGTCGTTGCTGCAAAAAACATATATTACCACCTTTAGTTTGTAAAATTCACTTTTGCTTACCTCAAGATCAATATGATACTTTGTGAACCACTTGATCATCATTATTTAATAGTAGAACCTGATCCAAATCTTGGTTGTTTGATGGTTGAGCTGGAGCCTAATTTTGGTTGTCTAGTGGTGGAACACGAACTTAATCTGAAGCTTCCTCATCCTTGTCTCCATTATCACTTGCATTGCCATTGTTGCTAGCATTGACAGCTTCCTCGCGATCTAGTGTAGAGGTCTCCTTCCCCAACTCCCAAGGGCATTCTATCTTCTGTGCTTTTGGAACTCTCGCAAACATTGTTGAGTACATTCCTTCATCCTTAACACCCTTTGCAACAAGTTGAGTGTAAACTGGTGCCTCAAATAGCATGCCTCTATATTGAAGATACATGTAAATAATATATATTTAAAAAAAGTCTTAGAAATCATATTATATTTGTAAACTGCATGTCGTATGAAATAAAGTTGACCATGTTGGCAATTATAAGTTGTTGTGCTTGTAGATTTCTTTGGCAGCCACCCCTCTTCGATCCCTTCCAATGACGTGTTGATGTAAGTGTCGAAAGACATGAATATGCCATTTGAATCGTCACCAATGTGCGATGCCAAGAACTTCTCACTTTCACTTATAGTTTACATGATGTAGACAGCCCTTCTCATCATGTTCTCAAATAGTTCTGGCAATCCTTTCTCTTTGTTCATCAAACAGACATTAAGGAACTCTAGAGTCTCTATTTATTATTTATATGGAAACTTTGATTTTGTGATATTGTAAATCTGGAGTTTTTTTCATTGCAAAAGTAACATCTGCATAATTGAGAAAAATGAAGTGTGATAAGAAATTTACATTTATCGACTATAGTCTCTAGCCACTCCTTCGGCCTGCGATTGTCTACAATGCATACTAGTTTCTTCAACTTTGAAGACTTTACATGCTGAATTTTGTGCTCAATTTGTACAAACTCAGCTAAGAGCTCTTCCCGACTCTTCTCCA